TTTTTCTATCATAAGTAAATGTTATTGAAGAAACTTTAAAAATATCAATCAATGTTTTTAAATCTATTCTTTTTCTAATTCTTATTGTTCTTTTTTCATTGATTTACTAACATTGATTTCTAATATTAATACAAAGGCAAAACAAATAATTTAAATATTTATGCTTATCAAAGGAGTGAAGACAGACTGTGACAGGTATTGTTGATATACGATCACAGACCGTATATCAATAATGTCTCGTTATAATATATGAGCTACTTCTTTATTGCATTTCTGAAGGGTTAAGTAAAAGGATGATGTATGTTGCAAGAATTGCGCTAACAATCTTTTTTTGTTAAAGAAAATCTATCAACTCTTCAACCAAATTTGTTTAAAAGTTCTATTTAATTGCACATATTGATTTGATGTTAAGTCTTAATTACTTTGATTGTATAAACAAACATGTTCTCAAAATTCTATTTTGTTCGATTAGGTTTTCAAAAAAAAAAAAAAGAAGCAAATCATTCGATTATTTTGAACTCGAAATTATTGAGATTAAGACCTCCCCTCCCCCTCAAAAATCGATCTCAGCCTAGGAACGTTCAAATGGGCTAAAGTTTGAAACATATGTTGGGGCTGAAGTGAGGAGTCTGTGGTAAAATTTTCAGCTCGATATCCCTACGTTTGACAGAGATATGAACCAAAACAAGGGTCAAAAATAGCTCATTTTCGTTCCAAGATTTCTCGGTCCGGCTCTGTCAACATATTTAAATTTTTTTTTGTTTGAAAGAGCATCTTAGGATGCAGGGCAGTATAGAGTCCTTTTTTTTAAATTCTTACTTTTTTCGCGGAGAAAGGGGCTCACAAGTTCAATGACTCAAAAAACGCGCCAAAAATGGGTGTCCAGTCACATAAGTGTCTGTCTATATAATAAAAAATAAAGCTTAATTAAAAAAAGGACTCTATATTGTCCTGCGTCTCGACGCGCTCTTTCAAACAAAAAAAAATTTAAATATATTGAACGGGTCGGGACCGAGAAATCTTGGGACGAAAATCAAAAAATCATAAACCGAGAAAAAACGAAAAACATTTTTCGTTTTTTTAAAAATAAGAATATTTTTCAAGAAGAGATCAATGAAAATCATCGAAAATCTTGCCCAAACAAGAGATACCAAAGAAAAGCCAATGTCGTTTCTGAAAGATCTGAAGACGGGCTATCTTTCCATGCATTTATCTCAATTTCGAAATTTTTGACGAAAATTGACTGTTTGTGGGGGGGGGGGGGGAGGCCTTAAACTAAATTTCTGAATTAAATGTGTTCATCAAAATGATGTTGCGAATTTTTAGATGTACATTAGAAAGATCGAATAGTTTTCTATAAAATGGTATTATTTATTCAAAACGAAAGTTAGAGTAAAATTGACGATTTTAATATGTTTTATTATTTTAAGAAAAAAAAAATTCGATCGATAGAATTCTGAATGAATTATACATATTGACATTCATTGATATTATAAATTTTCTTTTTACAGCAAAATACATTTTCTAGAAAAATTGCTAAATTATTTTTCATCCGTTGAAGAAAAATTTTCTTTTTTCTTCAATATTTCTAAAGTGAAATATCATAAAAAATAAAATCAATGAAAAATATTAGTTCAATTCTTTAACTTGTTCATAATTTTTATATAAAACAAGATAAATTGTGTTTTAATAAAAAAAAAAAACCAATCTTATCCTATGTATAAATCAAACTGTATTCTACGTGTTTACTGTATTAAAAAAATTTTTATTTATCAACAAAAAAAAGAAAAGAATGTTTACGTTAGAACAAAATTTATTTTATAAAAATATTGTGTTTATTCAGCTTCTGATCGACAGTATGAAAAAATGTTTCTTGATTCTCACCAGAGAAAACGAAAAAAGAAACACGATTCATTAATGTTATTATTGTGTAGTGTTCTTTTTGCTTTTCTTTGGAAGAAAGGTTATGAAGTTCGATTTATTCTTGCTATAACATTACAAAAATCGAATGCAATCGTTTTTTTTTTTGTTTTAGTTAGTGTTTTAAGAAAAACTTATCTCTCTATGATATTGAAATAATATTCTTAATTATAGAAAAAATATTTGCTGTTTAACAAAAAATTTTTATCTTAAATTAAGAAAAACAAGTTAAACTTGAATATAAAAAATATAAATGAACATCGAAAAAATGTTCTTTGTTTGGAATTTTCATTATTTTTTATTCTTGTTTTTACTAGTTTGCGTTCCTGGTATACCGTCACTCCATGAATCGATCTGTTCACTATCAGGAACATTGTGACGTGTACTAGTATCGTAGGTACCTATTGGAGTTGATCCTTCTTTACCTTTACCACTACCGAAAGCACCTATAGAACCACCTGTAATTCCACTAGTAGCTGATTTACTGGAATCATGCTCGGACAAATTATTCAATGATGATTGATTATTGCCTTGCTGAATAGACATTATTTAGAATAAACAGAATAATAGTAGAATGAATCTGAAGACACTTTTATTCGACGATAATTAAAGGAGAATAGACGAAGGAAAAAAAAGATTTCTTTTTTTCTTTATCACGTATATGTTATGTCGTGCATAAAGAGAGATAGAAAGAGATCTATGAAGAAGAATGAACTTAAGTTGAAGAACAAAGAACATTTTTTATTAAATAGTTCTAATAAAAAATAGTATATAAGCAATGGAAGAACCAAAAAAATAACTTCAAATGTGAAATTTCATCAAAAATTTGGTTTAAGTAAACGAATGTTCTTTTTGTTATGAGAAAAAAAGATTTATCTATTCTCCCTAAGACAATCATTTGACACTCTAAAAATGTCTATTTCACCATATCAATAACAAAAATGATTGATATTCGTAACGCAAATGAATTTTCTATTCTTTTTATAACAAAAAAAAATGTAGCAGACTTTACCAGTAAAACTTTCAGATTTCTTTCTGTCAAAGATCATTTTGTGTTCATCGTTAAAGAAATGTTATTATATTTAAGTTAAACGATATCCCTAGTTGCAAATATCGGATTAATTTTACCACCCGTACTTTTGACTAGGACCTATCGAGTCTCTAATTTCTAGATTCTAACTATACTGTTAATACTCTCAATAAAAATCTTTTAATCCGAATCTGATAGCCGCTCCGAAGGTACGAGATATTTTTTTTCGGTTTTTGTATTTGTCGATATAGCACACTGCACATTTCTCAGGCAGTCTTGACAGTGATCTTGTAAGTGTCAAGTTATGATTGACCCTTACTTTTAGAGAAGTACCGATCGAATCGATTCGGTAACCATCCGAGGCACTCAACCATGAATGTATAAAACTTTTGTAATGTTGTAACATTCATTATTGCTATTCTTTACTTCTTACTTTTCGTTTCTGTTGTTCTCCTATTTCTTTTTCATTCCATCTTGACAGTACGCCAAAAGTATACATATTCATATATGTTTTGTTTGTTCTTTCGTTCTGTAATCTTTTCTTGATCGTAATTTATATTTGTTATTGTTGATCAAGGTCAAAAGAACACTATACTCGACCTTGACTTTATTCTATATTACGTTGTATATATTTCGTTTTTATAATAAAACTTTCTTTGCCGTATGAACTTCAATACGTGATAGTTTTATATATTTTATCACAATTTATTAGCTTCAATCAATCGATGTCAAAATATCTGTATTTTTGGCTTTTCTTTTTTCAATAAAGAATTCAATATAATGCAGTGATTGTATTGTTACTTAGATTAAGAAAAATCTTCATAGTAACAAAAAAAAAAAAAAAACATAAAATAAACTAATTAAAAAGATAGAAAAGACTATAATTCGTGATTGAAATGAAATGAGCAGGATTATTCGATTAAAATATTATACTTATGTTAGTAAAATAAAAATATTAGTTAAAAAAAAAAATTTGTAATCTAAAAAAAAAAATCAGTCTTATGTTTGAGTTTTTTTGTTTATGGTTTTGGTACGCGAACTTCAACAGCCGATTCTCCAGTTAAATCTGTTCCACGATTTGTTGGTAAGTTAAACATTGGTAATTCAAAATATGCATTTTCACCTTTTATCATGAAACTTGCAAATCCTATATACCAAAGAATTAATGATGTGACTATTCCAATAGCTCCTCCAGCACGTGATAAATTTTGATCCCATAGAAGAAAATAACTTGCTGTAAGTAAGATATAAGTTAATAGTAAAAAAAAGAAAAATACTACTAAAAGTACATTTGATCGAATACATGCAATTAACATCAATAATGTAAATATTGTCCATCCAAGATAATAAACACCTAATGCTTTATATGTAACACTTAGATCTGTTGCACCAATAGTAGTACTAGCGAAAAATGAAGTTGCATAAAGTGCACTAAGTCCAAACCAATAACCAGAATAAGAACAAAACAAAAGTGCCTTAAAATTATTTCCTATACGTAATTCAAATAAACCAGCAAGAAATTGAATTAAACCACCATAGAAAAGTGCAAGACCCATTCCAACAGCAGGTGTACTTGAGATAGGAACAGTTGCACCAGCCATATACATTGAATAAACAAATAATGTTAAGGCAAAAGCACAGTAACCAATTGGTGCTGCATTATAAGGTTTTTTCGCTCCATATTCATGTACGCGAACGTCACCAGCAGTGTGAGACATTTTTCTAATTTAATTATTTGAATATGCTATTCAATAGCAAAAAAGAAAAAGAATTAATTCAATTCGAATATTTTAGATATTTTAATAAAATAAAAGATCATTATTTTGAATTACATAGTGGATTGACTCGAGAGTATAACAAATAAATTTCTTTCCTTTAGATATCTATCTATATTAGATTAATTTCTGTATTCTACGTAATATTGCTTTTTGAAATAGATGTAGACTCGATTTTTATAGCTTTTTAATTTAAAAAATAATTGCATAAAGAGAATCGAGTAATGGTGCATGTATATAAGACTGGAGTGCAAGGTTTTAAATAGAAACTAATGGTACTGATATATACCAATAAAAAAAAAACAAGCAAAATATTCTCAATATTTTAGAATTCAAAAAAATAATATTTTTAAATCTAATCAAATCGGTTATACTATGTTCACAAATAGAATCTAGAAAAGTCAAAGATTCATGCAGAATTTTTCTACATATATTTGAAAATGATACTGAAAAAAAAACCTAATTTTCTCAATTTAAAATGAATACAATTTAAATTTAATATTCTACTTTACCGTTGGTTCTTGTATTCAAGTGTTTGTATGATGCGAATCGCAGGGTTACTTTATAACTTTTCTTCTCTTTTACCTAGAGAAATTGTTACGCCTTATATATCTTTCATATAATGTCTTCTCGTTGACATGTAAGTATCCTTAGTAACTCTCTCTCTCTCTCTCTTTGTTATACATGATTGAAAAAAAAATTCGCACTCAGTTGTTTTTCTTTGTATAGGGTGAAACAGTTCATTTTTCAAATGAATGCATTTGTTGCTCCGTGCAACATAAATAATATTAAAATTTGTTTTAACAACAGCATAAGAATCATTAAAAGACAATGTCAGTATTGTAAAGAATAGAGACAATCAAAATGAGAGAATTTATGTTGCATAGATACTGGCATTGTCCAATTACATTTTTAACATTATTTAATAGTAACAATATGGCGTAACCATGGAATGTATACATTAATTTACTAGTTTGAAACAGTATAAATGTATGCTATATGAAGAACAGAAAAAATAAATACTCCATAGTTACATCATATTGTCACTATTGAATAGTGCTAAAAATATATTTGCACAATGCCACATATCTATACAAAAAAAAAGTTAGTTTATACAGAATTTATTTTTGCAGTTTTTAGTTCTGTTATTTTAATAGTTTATGCGTTTCAATATGAATATTATCTTTTACAAATTCTTGATGTTGTTAAAAAAAAATTTTATAGTTACCCTTAAGTTGCTTATACACTTCTTGTGTGATTACAAAAGTTTGTACTCAATAAACTTTGAAACTCTATTACGTATTGTCAATTTCTATAAAAAGACGAAGTTACAACATCGCTCTTTTAACCTTGTATGAAATATGAAAAATAGCCAAATAAATTAATTTGCAAAAATTTTATTAGATAGAATAGAAGTCAATTGTTTTACTTTGCAAAAAGTTAAAATATTTAAAATTCATTAGATCGAAAAATAATTTGTTCATCTTATCATGTTATTTTATCGACAAAAAAAAAATTGAGTCAAAGCAAATCAGAAATAAAAGTTTTTTTTTTTTTCATTTAGATTATTGATATTGTCTATTGAATGTAGTGTATGAAGATTTGCATTTTCGATGATTTTGTAATAGTAGAAAACATCAAATGAACTTAGTATAGCTGCATGAATAGTTTTGAAGGTACCGTATCTACTAGAAATGCTTGATTTTTTTTTGTCAATTATCTGTTGTAAACAATGATTACTCGATATTTTAACGTATACTCAACATCATTGTCACATAATTGCTTCCCTGATGAATATAGAAGTTCTGTTTATGAATTATTTTAAAGTATAAGTTTATTGATGTTGATTAACAAAAAAAAGTGAATAAGTAAATGTATAACCTATTGAATTAGTACTTCGCCCTAATAAAAAAAAATACTTTTATAATAATTTGCTATAACAAAAGAAAACTTATTAAGATGTTGTTTAATACGATAAAGAATTTCTACTCGTAGTAGATAAATATCATCTGTATGAATAACCATTTGAATATTATGTTTATACTTTTTTAAAGAATCGATTCAATTCCAGTCTACAAGACATATTCAAGATCTCTTCTTCATTGTTACATTATGAATGATGAAAAACAACACTTAACTGAAGGACTATCGTGCAGAAAAAAAAAAAAGTAGAGAGTTGAATGACAACAGCTTTTATCCAAACATGTTGACAAAACAAGCTTTGTTTCATATTCCAAATAGGAGGGATGTTGTTGTTCTATTGATTTAAAATACATGTAAATTATTCTATTTCTTTCTCATATTTCATTCTAGTCAGACGAACAAAAAAAAGATACTGTAAAATTTTAACCAAAATAAAATCGTAACAAGTACACATTTTCATGTGTTCATAATGCGTTAAAATTTTCAAATCAATATATATCCGTTCGAAAACTTAATGTGTTATGAACGCGTTTTTTTTTTCTTGTTCATCTGTCTGAGATGAAATAGAACATTTAACTTAATTTATATTTAAAATAAATTTAAATTATTGATAATTTAATTTACTCATAAATGAAATTGAAAGTAAATATAAATTGACACTCCTACCAAATAGTCTATTTTCAAGTTATCCTTAAATATATATCCAGCGCCATCTTTTCTCTATCAGTCATCTAACTGACTTCCGAAAATCATTGTGACCTTGAGAGTTTTTAGCTCAGGTCTAAACAAAGAAAGTTTCATGATGCCTCTTCTCCATACGAAAATTTTCTTATTTTAAAAAGCCTATACTTCTGCAATGGCAAAATGAGCAGATTTAGGTAAGTGATTGAATATCTGTAGGATGTGTAACAACATTATACTAGACAGTTTTTGAGAATAGAATTGAAAACTTTCTACTAAAAAATTTACCATTAGATAAAGATAAACCTTAATTTTAGTGACGAAAGCAAAAAAGTATATCTTTTGTTTTAACTTCTGTCACTTCAAACAGCTACACTTCCTTGTATTTCTTTAGAAACTAAACATAAGTTTCTAACAAAATGAAAGCATGTCACATTGTATGAGTTTATTTGATCGTCAAATAATAGGAGACAGAAAGATTTCTCAGACCTAAGTATGAAAGATATTTCCTCGTCGCTTTTTTCTTTATGGATTTGTTAAAAGATATCGCACAGTAGAATATTCTTCATTTCCTTGAAATCTACATTTTCTGGCAAAAACATAATCGTATGAGAACTGTCAATTGAGTATCTGAAGCAGACGAATGCGCTGCCAGATGCAGCTATTTTTAGAAAAAAAAAATAAAACTCGCGCTCCAAAATGTATAATGTAATAAATAAGGATTACTTTATAAAGTAGCACAAAAAGAATAAATCCTTTTATTTGATAGTCAGTCGCCAAAATTGACTGTGCCAGAATTCGAAACGCACTGCCGTGTCAAGTCCAGATAATCTCAGATTTCAAAAAGATCGATTCATGATCAGCTGAAAAACAGATCGATCTGTCTCTTAAAGAAAAAGAATTTAATCTGCTAATCTTAACTCTTGATTTTCAGCAATCAACCAAGTAGAAAAATTAAATAACAATAGAATAATAAATACGCGTGCTTTGTATAAAACTTAAATAAAGATAAATACAGAATTAATTTCGTCAACGCGTTTTATGTTATTTATTAAAATATTTAAACACTCATCAGAGCTCTCCATGTAACCATTTTTAGATTTTCAACGCGTCTCTGAACTTCTAAAACTTATGCAACGTGACGTATTTAACAATTAAAACACGTGTAAACTCGTCTATGTTAGACACGGACTACAACGTATTTTCGGATTTTGCTACGTTTGGATGGAGTTATGAGATGAATGCGTAAGAGAGTGGTACTTTTTTCATTGACAGCTTGAACCAAGATTTGAATACACGATCAGTCGATTACAAATCGAACACAGCTAGCTTTGAACTATAACACAGATTGAACTTGTTCCTATGTTCATTAATTGCATCATTAGTTTATATAACATTACTTGTTACAACTTGGCGAATAGAACTGTTAATTTATTTTATTTTTACTTCGAGAAATGAATATAACTACATGGGGCACTACAAAAGTTTTTTCGCCCAGCTCTCTTAAAAGACTTAGCCAAGGACTAAATATACCGCTGTAATGCCTAGACATATTTAGGATTATGTGCAAAATTTCAGACTTCGAAGTCTTGTGCTTTGTTGTAGTTTATCACTTCTTTTTGTACCAGTGATGTAGGTTACACAGTTGCGACTTGTTGATCAATTTTCCATCTTTTAATAGTTGTATTATATAAACACATTAGACTACAAGCTGCAGCGTGTGAAGCTCTACAATTTACACAAGAGCACTTCTTTTTACAGTTGCACGTTTCGCTTTCAAGATGGACAACATTTTTATTTACCACATTCCGCGCATGCAACAATTATATTTTTTTTCTTTCATCTTTTTACCACCTAATATCTTTTTGTAAATAAAAACAAAATATGTGGCAAGATGCAGCATGAAAAGCTGTACAATCTACATAGCCGATAAAAACATCAAACAAGAAAAAAAGAAATTTCTAGTTCGTGTTATTTTTTTGTAACGTCGAAATTTGGTCGCTGAAAACTTCGTCTATGTTGAAAGCAAAACATGCAACTATCAAAAAAGTGATCCTATGCAAATTGTAGAGCTTCACACGCTGTATTGTGTGATGTGTTTTGTTTTACTAATACAACTTATTAAAGGATTAAAAATTGATACATAAAACCTGATCATTAAACCCATTATGTGTTGTATTGGGAATCACGTATACCTAGTACAAAGGAAACGATAGACTACAACAAAGCACAAGACTTAGAAGTCTGAAATTTTGCACATAATCCTAAATATGTCTGGACATTATAGCGGTATAGTTAGTTCTTGGCCAAGTCTTTTAAGAGAGCTGGGCGAAAAAACT